CATATCGTATACACATATACAAATTGATCTTTCATGTAAAAGACGACAGATTCTTTACTACGTGTAATGTTTAAATTCACCGTGACGCGACGTACGTGTTTTGATCATATAAAGAAATTCTCTTACTTTGGCATGCTTGTGTCTCAAAGAAGGTTTCCTCTGATTCAGGCTGGAAACTGTGACACGCGCGCGACTAAAAGTTTTTCATTGAACGGATTGGTCCCGTATCGGGGGAACGATCTGTCACGATCGTTGGCCGGAGAGAAGAGGAAAAAATTCCGGGGAGCGAGCGAACGAAGCGAGCTGCCGGTGTGCCGTGCGACGAATTAATTAGTTCGATCGTGGCGGGCACGTCTTGAATGAGAGAGAACTGGTGCGCTCCACGCGAGCCGGTTTCGGATTATTGCACGCCTCTACACCGCCGCGTACGTGCCTCACGTGAAATTACGTTGTCGGCTAAATTAGCGCGTTTCGATTCTGTTTTATGCCGTGCTGCGAGCTGAATCTGTCAACGAGTTCTCAGTGTGCTGCCTGTTAAAAGAATCCATTACTCTGAAATCACTGTCTTTTGTATTCTCTTTTTTCCTGTAATACCTCGATAGAACATGGATCGAAAATTTCTGGATCATTCGGTTGATTCTTAAGCTATACGACTTCAGTTTTACACGACTTCTTTTTTTGTTTCCTTAGAAAGAATGAGTTTCTAGTATCCGTGCTGTTAAAAGAATCTATTACGTTGAAATTGTAAAGTTCTGTATTATTTTTTTTTCTATTTTGACAAAAATTTCATTGATATACGAGTATAAAATCAATGACCTATATTTTTGAAGGTATAGAGATTTCGTGACGCGATGTAAATAAAATTTAAAAATACACGGCAAAAAATAATACGGTGATCGAGTTGAGCTTCGACCTATCGGTAACCGCATGTCTTTTATTATTAACCCCTCGTTTATTTATAAATAAATACATAACCTAGCACTTTTTAATATACGATCGATGTGTATTCGCACAGCTCGGATTAAAAAAAGCTGGGTAATTATAAACGAGCGTGTGTTAACCTTTCTTAACCTTACACTTTATCCTTAACCATTTCTCCTTCAGAAACCTGAAGTAATTTCATGGAAGAAAAAGGAAGAAGGATAGAGATATATATCTTTACGATTGTTCGCGATCCAGATGAATCAGAGACTCGAGTGGGACGAGAAATTTGTCGAGCGCGTCCCTGGTGAACCGTGCGCGACAGTAGGTTAGCCTTGCAACCCTTGAGCCTCGACCCTTCTGTGGTAAATTCACCCTGCTGTGTGTACACACACGTATACACGTATGAGGGGCTGTGACGTGTCGTCAAGTCCCACGGCGGCGATTCTCCGGAGACTGCAAAGGCCAAGTTCTTTCTGGCACGATCGATCTTCGCACCGGCATTCAGCATCATCGTGTATCGTGCCTTGTTCGTGTCTAACTGGAACTTCGCCGCTCTGTACCCTGTGCCCGATTTCGGATATTTATCGCTCGTTTTACTCTTTCCGCCAATCCACTCTCTAAAGAAGGAATTATTTTTGTCAAGGTCTGTTTGTTTTCTTAACACCATGGAACTTAATTCGAACGTTCCTGTTTATTGTAAATCATCCCCTGCGATGGCGAGCGGATAAATAGGGTAACGGTTATTTGTGTAAATTTAGCTAATTGTATTATGAAAAGTTTTATTTCTCTCTATTTTTCTGTAATATAAGATCATAAGAATTAGAGGATCGTCAGTTTTTTCTGCAACGTAGCGCTATAAATTCTTTTCTATTGAGGTTATTGGATGTATGAACAGAGGCACACGTGGATAAATTGTAAAGTAGAAAATATATTTTAATACAGAAGCGTAAGTACAAGTAGGAATATAATTTGAGCTGGTTCAGATCCGCACGCTAGCAGTGTTACCCTATAACTGAAAACCCCGAAGCCATCGTCGTCTGTTTACTGTCTATGGTCTGCCTTCGTCCCAGTCTATTGTCTATACGCTGTCGATAGCTTCAGTGCTTGAGAAAACTAAAAAGACCAGATGTAGAGTTTTCTTAGAAGTGGTGACCACTTCAACATTTTCTATACCGTAAAATTTTCTACAATATAGCGCCATAAATTCTTCCCAAATCTTTGCCAAAATTCAAACTAAACTTCTACCAGAAGACAATGTGTGATCGTTAACGCGTTAAAAACATAAGATCTTCGTGGCGATGAGATGTTGAGGAAGTTAAAGTCGAGATGAAATCAGGTGACCGAATTATTTGATCGCGATGCGCTTCGATGTGTATTGCGGCTAACACGTGTAACTTTAGCGAGCGCGTGAACAGCGTTAATGGAGCGGTGCCGATATTAAAATCGATAACAATTCCGGAGAACGGTGGCCCGCTTGTCAGTAGCCCGCCGCCAGTCAGTCGAACGCTAATATTTTGATGCCACCAATCAATTGTCCGTATTACGAGCGGGCATTACAGCGCAAATTCAATTTCCAAGAATTAGTCTGTCGTTTCGCGGTGCTTTCCAATGCGCTATTGGCCGGCCAACGTTTTATGGAAAACCGATAAGATTCGCGTTTTGTGCTCAGAAACCCCTAAAACTAGATAGATCGTATATATGTATACAAGCTCACAAAAATATTATCTAGTACGTTAAACACAAAAGTATTTAAACGGTCAATTATCCATTATATTAACAAGCCTCGATATTCAATGGGACCATCTTTAAATTATATTATGTTATACTTAAAGCGATCATTCGTATTGCAAATTAATCTTTTACCAAGTAGATATTATAACTTCTATATACATTTTCAAATTGGCTACACATTCGGTCGTTTTATATAACACATCAATATGTGTTACAATTGTTACATAAAAGTTTTCTATGGTAAATGTTCAAGTACTTCCGTGGGATAATGTGCATGTATCTTGGTTTTCGATAATTATCAGGATTCAAGGGGAAAAGATTTTATATATGCTAATGACTACGTTGAATCGCGATCAGCGTGTATAGCAACCTTTGGAAAGATACTTCGTAGTCGTAAAGTTTCGACGAAGTTTAGACGATCACGAGCAACAAGACGCAACACAGAGAGTCGGTTCGCACTGACACAAGGGTGATCGATATCAGTGTAGCCAGTCGATTCGTGACCCTCGAAACACGCTGTTATCGCTGCTACAGTGCAACGGTCTTTCCTTTGTACAATCAACTCTTATATTCAATTAGAACTTTGCGTCTGATATGAGCACACATATATTCGTCTATGTTGCAACATCTAACCATGAATTTATTACTTTGCGAATATCTGAACGACGAAACGTTCTTCCTTGTAAGATCGATGTTTTCTCCTCGAAATCGGTTAACTTTTTCGCCACGAATTTTTCTTTTAACAGCGATCACGCTAGTATAATAATATAGACTACAAATTACATCAATCTCTTTACCTATGTTTTTTCATTTTTTCCTCGTGTTTCTATCTCTTCAAATATTTGTTTTCGGGATACTTTATTGATAGAAAGCGTGGAATATGCAAAAGGTGACAAAATTGTATCGAATATTAAAATTAATTATTTAAAAACTTTCCATATTTTATAGAAAGAGAAGGATAGGGTTAAGTATAGTTTTTAAAATTGAATGCATGATCTCATTTATCATAGAATCATACGTACCAGTAGATTTCAGTGAAATTATAATAAGTTATGGATCTTTTTAAAAGTTTTATCGGCTATTATTCTATAATGATTTCGTTAATCGTGCCAGTTAACCGAAGTTTCTTCAAAAGAATTAGTTTTGTAAACTGACAGCGCGTATCGAGATTTTAGTCCCGGTTTGAACGATCGCGGCACTAACAGGTGTTTGACACGCGTGCAGATCCAAGCAACCGAAAGACATGCACGAGCTTATTAAATTTGATTTACGCTGTTAGTTCGGTCACGATAGGCATGATCATGGATGCTATTCCGGGTTGCACGGTCGTTACAATTTTTTTTCAAATACTAACAGAATAATGAACGATTCAGTAGCACGTATACCTTTTCTCGTAAGTGTGTGGACATTTTTATTCTGTTTACATTAAAGTATATAAACTAATGATAAATCGATGCTCAAAAGATATTCTTGTGAATTCAATACATGTATATCACACGAAACTAAAATCGCTTATCGGTAATATATTAAAAATAAACATACAATTTGTCCAACTATTAGTAGCTTTAAATATTATTGCTAAAATTAATCTTCATAGACTCTGTATTAATTTTGAAGAATCTTTTCTATCCTATCTATTGTTAGACGCACAAACGAACTAAAAATAATGAACTGCTCCCTAACATTTAACGCTTACAGTTATCGATCTTTCTAGTGTATATTAACTTTAAAAGACAAATTTTATCGTATATCGTTACAATATTCTGCCGTAGCTCTAATAATAAAACAATCTAATTAAATTACTTTTTATAAAAACAAGCAAGTGTCCACGTTCTTTTGATCGATAATTTAAATCTCCCGCCTTAGCGCTACACTCAAAGTTCGAATGAAGCGATCAAGTTCGACGAACTTTCAGTGAAACATGATCGACGCGTGTCTCTGCTGTCTGTACGAAGTTTCGTGCTGAAACCACGTCATAGTTGCGTCTTAACGTAGTCCCAATTAGACGAGCGACCGAAGGTCCGTTCGATGCGATTAGTCGGGACTATTGGAAATCGGTTTCGAGGAGAACTCAGTATTCTTTTAGTCGGAATAACCGGGAAATAGAGTATGTGTGTTCGCGATTGTTGATCCCCCCTCGGTGAAAGTCGTAAGTTTGGTGGGCCGCGAATCTGTGCCACGTTCGACGTGTTTCGTCGATTCATTGGGCCGCTTCAGGCGGCTTACGAAAGTCCGACGATGCATGTTGAACTCCCTTCGGTCCACATGCATGCGACACGCGACCCACACCAGAGAACACACTGTACACAGCACACCTAACATGACCGATCGGTCTGATCTGACAGATCGTTGCCTGTCCCCAGGAGGCATACTCCGTACTTTGGCCAGCCGGACTACAGGCTCTACGAGTTGAACAAGAGGTTACAGCAGCGTACAGAGGTGAGTTTATTCTTTCTACCTTTTACTCTAATTTATTTATCTTGCAGCTGTAATTATAAGACTTGCCCCATTGAACGGTCACGTTTCGTAAATTTATAACGAGACCACTGTTCATGAGTATTGGAACGAAATATTTTTTGTATACTATCGTACTAGTTATTCCTACTGTAGAAGTTAAAAATAAGTAAATTACGAATTTTAGACTACGGCGAGAATGCAAAATTGCATAGAATGCGCATAATATGGAAAAATATGTAAAATATTCAATGTACCGTGGGTAAAACAATTTTCTAGCGAGTTTCTATCGTTTTAAACTATTCTCGAATTTGCATAAAAATCCTCAGTCTAGTAATACACGAATACGCGATACCTTGCTGTTTGTAGCATTAGAAATATCCAATTAGCTAAAATGACTGGTTCCAGGATTTCTGTCTTAGCTATTATTAGAAATATATAGGAGGTCAAACGGGGGGTTTTCTAGAGACATTTCTAGTTTCGTGCATATTTCGTAGAGACAAAGAGTTCGCGCAAAGGTTAGGGAAGTTCATTAGTAGATACGGTAACCGATTAGACAGATGACTAGGTATTAACGGACGGGAAAACTATGCGGATGATTAATTGCTTTCCGTTTGTGCAACCTTGTTTCTGATCAGATTGAATTACGAACGAGCGGAGTACGCGTTCTAACATCGTACCTCGAGCGTGGTTTCCTTTTAGAAGCTGACACAATGATAGATCTATCTTGTTCGATCAATGTGTTTTTCTTTTCACCGTTTTTTTAATCCCATACATGGCAAAGAATAAAAAGAAGGAACATTTGTATTTTTATCGTATAAACTTCGACTGAGATTGGTTTGTCGAAACGACGAGCGTATTCATGATTTTAACCCTTAATGCTATCATAGATCGAAGTTCATTGCAATACGCAGTACAAATTTTACTTTAAAAGTGCCCATTAATTTGAGTAAATCAACGAAATTAAATCGTACTTGGAAATGTGTTATAAATTCGTAGTCGGACCTTTTGATATGAAAGCTTCGAGCAACAAGCATACATCTGTCTTTTTCTCTCAATGAAAGATATTTTAAATATTGCAGCCGATATTGCTATTGCAAATTCTTCGATTAATAAAATTAAGCAAGTGGATTTCTGTTACTTTTTGTTATTCAATAGCAAATGAGAAATAGGAGAATTATTGCTTGCAGTAGTTGCAACGCTAAAACACGATTCGTACGAAGTGATAGCCTTTAAGGGGTAAATCGATGGAATTCGCGGAAACACGATGGGAGTCATACATGAATACGTGGCACGATTCCATGCATTATAAAATTTCCTGGCCCATACAACGCGGCTAGATAAACTTATTCTCCTTTCAGAGGTGCCTGATAATAGTGATAAGATACAATCCTCGTGAATCGTGGATTATCGTTGGCGCACATGTCTCGTTCCTGGACTATCGAGTTTTCCGTCGATTTCAGACAAGCTGAATTAATAGACTCTTTGTGGAGAGATCGCTCGACTTCATGCGATCTTCGCGGGCAATCGCCGTTTGGAATGTATCGAAGACGAATCGCGTCGTCGCTCTTCGCCCGCGATAGTCTACGCGGAAAGTTCGATAATCGATTAAATCATCGGCTTATTGCATCTTCGTCAATGGGAATTATATACGGTGTCCTATTATAAGCTAATCTGTTATTGGAAATATTTCGATCGAAATTTTCTTTCGGAAGTGAATCATGCCAGGATATAGGAAAGATGTTACTAGATGTTTTTAAGTGGAATCATATAATTGTTAATACCTTAATCGATGTAGTTTGTTATTTCCTGCTGAAAGGTATCAGTCTCAAAATAAATTACTAATTTGTTGGTTTTATTAATATTTTAATTTCAATGGCAATGATATTAACGTTGATTCTAATTTCAAAGTGGCACTAGTACAGTTCGTAGGATGCCTACGTTTCCTGATATCATAGATGAGATTTTTGTTCGAAGATGATAACAAATAACGAGATGAGTCGCGATATCATATCATATCACGTGTGACTTTATTGAAAAATTTTTCGAGTCAATTCAGCGTCTTTGGATACTTGATATTACACGAACATCTAAACGAATTCGTTACGTTGGTTATGCAGCTTCACGAATTTTTGAACAAAGTAGCGTACGAAGTGGTATGGCTGAATTTGTCAAGCGGCTTTTTCTTCTATCCGGTATACTTTCCAAAATATTTCCGATAATGAATTAAAATCAGGCACTCTGTATCTGCTGATCTTGACAAAGTTAGGAGAAAAGGTTAGGGCGAGTAAAAACATGTGGAGACGCACGAAATTCTTCACGGGAGTGATATGAATCGAAAACTGGCTCCGAAGAAGTATCGAAACCACTTCGAATCGATTAACAACCCACGTCGAATTGATCACAGCGCATTTGTCGCGCTAAGAGGCACGCGAATGTTTTCCCGTCCTTCTTTTTGCGGTGAATCTCCAGGAGCCCCGTTTTTCTTTGGGCGAACAGTGATCAATGCGCCATTAGGACAAAGCACCGTGAAAAAAGAAGGAAGGAAAAGAGGCCGGGGTTAATGTGTCTTAATGAGCCACTGATACTTGAGCAGCGCGTTCATTAATCTCGGAGAACCAAACGGATACAACCGGTCTTCGCTTTCGAGATCTCGATATTATCGGTCCGTCACGTCGGTTTACGTTTGTCGCGTGGCAGCAATCAGCATAAAAACCTCGTTGCAATTAACCCCTTCGTTAGATTGAGCTGTCTACCTTTTTTTGCCGCTTTATACGTGTAAAAACGTGCGATGCTTGATCGCCGTTGAAAGTAAATTCAAATAGAATTAAGGTGTCTGTCGTCAGACTGTTTTTAGTCTGAATCTTGGCCTGAATATTCGTTATAAACTGAGCCCTCCAGCAACCAAACTGATCGACCGTCGATTAACTCCACTTTTTATGAATTTTTAATTTCATTATATAAATACACGATTAACATTCAGTCGCCAAGAAACGAATCAACTTCTTTTCATCCCTTTTCTCCTCACTTTCGTGCGTCTTTTCTACAATTGTTATTAACATCCTTATTAAAATTATCATGATCTTATTTTCGATCTACTTTGTTTCATTTTTTAAATACCTTTACGAATCTTTCTATCGTTGTCTATCCAACTTCGAAGCGAGTAGTTCATTCGAACGAGCCACAAATATTAATTCCTCTGGATGATGCTCAATTTCGGCTATATGCTCCCGAAGTTCGTTTCGCTCCGTTCAGCTGTCTAATTCACGAGGAACCTAATTTCTCCTTTGTATACTCTACGACCTTGACCAGTCAGTATTGAATAAAATATCATCGTAGCTCGGTAGAGAGCATCGGTAGATGATGATCGAGTCGAGGAAAGTCATTAGTCACTCGAAAGCTCGATCATTATTAGCTGGCCGAGCATCAAGGCTATCCAAATGTTTATCTATCATTTATTAAGCCTGCGGATAATTTTGCTCGACTCTGGCCCACATACGCCCGTGCCGCTTCTCTTCTTCTAGCTTCCCTCGATTTTCTTTTTTACTCACAATCCTTTTTTGGCCCCGCTCGGTTCTCTCCCCGCCAACTCTCTTCTTCTTTCTTCGCGTCATTCGTTCATCCAGCTGGTTGTTCACTCTCGGTCACTCATTCGCGAACTCGAGCAAACGACGTGGCGTGTCCCTGCCTCATAAATCATGTTTTCTCGCGTTATCGTCAGATCTCGAGCGTGTCAGCGTGCGTGTGCACGGTTCACCACTGTTTCTTCGCCGACTTCCGTCAGGCCCGTGCGAACCCTGGTCTGGCGCCCTACGTTTCATTCCTACAGCCACTCTCTCGTTTCTTGGCGATCCGTCCACGCATTTGTCACTCGGACATGCCCCTCCTGGGACCAACAATCTGCCAACGAAGGCGCATGGTGCATTACAACACTTCGACTTCTATTTTTCGTGATTTCATTAACCCATTAAGGATCGAGTAGTGTAATAACGTGAAAAATTTTACTGGAACGTTATTGAGAGAATATAAATTATTGTTTCGTCGGGGTACAAAAATCTATTAGAAATACACAAATTGGTGGCACGAAAGAAGTTCTATAATTTGAGGAAAATATATGTATCTCGTTACAGCGTTAATGATATTCCAAAATATATTCGTATAGCGCACATAATATATTTATAAGAATTTCAATGAATGTCCGAACACTTTCGCGATTCACTGTATATTTTGTGTAACAGTCGAGGATTCTCGAAAACGAAGAGATACTGGTGAAAATGTAAAGATCGAGATAAAGCGCGAGTGGATCTTTAGTCGAGCATCTGTTCGCGTACGTCACTGCGAAGTTTGCCGTAGTTTCGCCTACGTTGGGGTTAGATTCGTGTCGAGAGGGTGTCAGGGGGTTGGTTTGCACGGAGCGAGAAGGAGTGAGCCCGGTTGAGCCGGTAGAAACGAGGGAAAGGGCGTAGAACGCGGGGCGAATTAAAATCAGCATCTACGCTGACTCGGTTATTCTCTATCCTCTTTGTCCCGATTTTCTCCTTTTCCTACTAGGTTCCCTCAAGATAGAATATTCAGATTCACTAATGTTCACGCGAACAAATAACGAAGTATCGAAATCGTTCGATGTATTATGGCAAAAAATCGTTCGGCCTATCATCGGTTTCACCATTAATTCCATCTCAAATGTTTTGGACTCTGCGAGCTACGCTCCCATCGCACCGTGCTCTATCCGATTGCGCTATAAGCTTCTTTCAAGCTTATGTTTCGACGTTCGGAAACAGTAGATTTGAGAATTAATTCGTGAATGTCTTTAGACCATTAGGCGAATCGATACTAATTTTACTATTGCAACTATTTCATTAATGAAAAATTCAAACATACTGAAATATCCATTCAATAAATATATTAGCAATATTGTGGTACAGCAGAGCGAAGATTTGCAGTAAAAATAAAAGACGCGCTTTTGTTCATTTGATCGCTTACAT